TTTAATTAATAGTATATAAATTAAAATTATCTTTTAATTCTTAAAGATCAACTAGGACTTATTAGGACTTTTACCAATCCTACTTACGATCCTGAAATAGTAAAATTGTATTCCCAGATAAGTTGGAATATTGTCTTATCTGCAACACTTTAAGCAATAAACTCAAGTTCACAATCATAGCATAGGATGAATAGATCATGTGAAATCGATCACCTGAAATACGCAGTAGTATAATATCAGAAAATTTCTTGCTTGAAGGAATAGGAGTTGTGTGATGTAAGATTTACATATATATTCGCATTATATTTTGTGTCATATCATATCAATTTAAATAAATGTATCCTATTCACATTATTTTTATTGTATGAATGTAGTAATTAATACCTTATATCATTCTAGGAAGCTGAGAACCTTATTTGAACTATGCTATAACAGAATATAGTTGAGGGTTTTGCAAAGTGGTAATTTACCATTAAGTATCAAATTTTTCCAAAGATGCTTTGAATGAATATTCCATAGAATATCAAATATTATGTAATAGCATTGGGGCTTATTGAAAAATAGCATATGCAAACGTTTATATGTATGTCACACTTCAAACAGCTATTCAAAAACAGTTGAAACCTCCATATAATAATATTCCTTTTGATATCCGTCAAGTTTATTATCCTAGGAGTTTGGATGAAAGACGTATATAACCTCAGGCTTTGTGTCAAACGTTTACTAAAGTTTGCTTTTTCTAAATTCAGATCATGAGTCAAACGCTTGTCAGAGACCCTTTTATCTTTATTTTTATAAGATATAATTTTAATAAATAAAAATTATCTTTGTGTTGTTTTGTGGTAAAAAAACATAAAATAAAAAAATTAATAATTATAACCTTGTAAACTTAGCAAAAGTTTAAGTTTATATATGAATTAACATTGGTATTAAAATAAAACTTTCGTCAATAATTAAATGTGATTATAAAATAAACTTTCATAAAGACTATGATAATTAACTAAACAGACGCATGAAGCTATCAGAATTTGATAATATAATAAGCTATTATAAAAACTATGATAATTTGTTTCACTTTCATTTCGTTTAAAATATTTACAATCAAAATTTATTAATAATGTAATGACTAGAAAAAGAACAATTAACAGCATAATTAATGATAAACCACAAGAAAATCGTTCTTTCTGTAGATCTATCTATAAAAGAAGATTAAAATTACGTTGTTATTATAATGTATTTAATGGTAAGTTTGTGGATCCACATATAAAGGAGTTACATGATATAAAAGATCAAAATTCTTCTAGTGAATCAGCCACAAATTGTAATATAAATATGATTCAAGAAAATAAATTTGAACTCTAATCAGTTATTGGCAGTGGATCATCTGCATCAGCTTCTTTATATCAATTTAATCAAATTCAGCAAAATGCACAAGACGACGAAACAGCAGATGAATCTGAATTTGTTTTCTTACCTAGAAGGCCTAGAAGATCTAAAAGACATGCACATAACTAGGGTTCCTCAAAATCAAATCAAATCAAATATTGAAGCAATTTGAATTTGATTTGATTTTTTCGAATCAAATCAA